CTGTACTGCATTATCAGTTAATGTATCAATTTGTATCAATTTTCTGTTTTTCAAGAAATAAATTGTCCTTACGTATTTATGCACACTACATGCTACTTCATGGGAATTAGAGACAATAATTTATTTGTAAATCAATATTTTTTGAATTACTGAAACAGTACTATTTAAAATGAGTCTGTTATGCAAATACATAACAAATATATTTTTAGATAAAATTGTGACAGCATTTCACTGGGTAGAGAACAGCTCTACAAAGAGCCGGATCTGAATGCAGAAATACAAAAAGGGCAGTCTTCTGTCTGTCCACAGTCTGCACTAGCATGCCCTGGATTCCTAGAGGCACATTTCAATGATTTTGTACAGTAACAGCACTGCTTCACATTTGTCTACTCACATCCAAGAACAAGCAATATATAATCCACAGATAGAATTAAATGAAGTGAGAAAAACAGACAACTGCCACAGTTGATAATATCACTGCCTAGGGATAGATGGATTTTGGAATAAACTCATGAATCTTGGAGTCAGGGTCAGGTGTAAAAGGAGCAGAGAAACCCCACGGATGATGTGCTCAGGGTCAGGAGAGGGTGTGTGGCTGCGGGAGACGGCCGGCCGCGCTGCCAGCTCGTCTCCCGAGTGCCCCAGTGGCCGCGGGTGCTGCCACTGTCACAGCTGAGCACGACGTGAGGGGAGAGGACCTGGAATGTCATTCAGTCCAGCTAACTATATGGGTTGAGTGGAACTGCAGATACGTTTTTGCAGAGGTGCAACAGTAAAAATAATTCCATTAAGATATGTGTGTATATATGTATGTGTGTGTAAACACATATTCGGGGCTTTTTCACATAGGGAAAAAAAATTGCCTCTGTTACTGGTATTTGAATAGCAAACAGGCTCCTTTCTACAGGGCTCACCAATGAAACCTACAGACAGTGCAGAGCAGAACTTGGTAACCCCTGTGTTTTCAGACATATCAGACTTGTATCACCTAAAACAAATATTGGTCAAAATGGAGATAACATTTAGACATTTGCTTTAAAGTGTAGCATCCTTTCCACCTGCCACCACGGGCCGCAGCAGATACACTCTAGTTAACATATTACTGACAGGATGATGAGAAAGCTCCTGTCAGACACTGGCCAGCCGGGTGTTTGAGACAAAATGCACAGCCCCAGCTGACTAGTTAGGGAGAGACTGGCAAGGTACAATTACAGAGGCATATGACAAGCTTTCATGCTCCAGTGACTTGAGAGCCGATGACATGGCTTTAAACAGCAATCCTTCCTACCTCCGGTCACAAAACAGCAATAAGTCAACTGATGCACTGTTGTAAAATCATGATTTATTCCTTTGCTTTGAATACATGAGAGTGCGGTATGATGTTCTGGTAGACTACCACAGCAGGTGCACTTGGGGCCTAAACATCTAGGGCCTGCCTCCAGCATGCATAAAATCAATGCTCTAGTTCAGGCTTCCTGGAAAAAAGCCTTACCCAGCAGTTTAATAATTTATCATAAGATTGAATTAAAAAATTAATTGTACTGAAACTGTTACTGCTCCATGCAGTTAATAAGAATATATGCATATGTAGTAATGAATGAGAAAACGGTGCTACATTAGAATATACAGTGTGACATTTAGGAAAATTCCTCTTCATACAGTTAATCTGAAAGAGCTAACAACTACCTTTGTGAATTAATCAGTTCCTTTGTTTCATTCACTTTCATTCATTCCAAAGTCAGGTAATTTGTTTCTCTTTTACAGTATACTGTTCAAAAGCCAGAAATGGTAATTTTCGTTAGAAACAGATCTTAGAGAACATAATCCTCAGGCTAGTGAATCCATCTCACTGTAACACTAACCCTGGAGCATACTGTGAGGTTGGTGACAATCACATTATTAAAGTAGTTGGAAAGTCAAGCTAATAAAAGAATCAACAGCCAGCACGAATAATGGAAATAAAGAAGATACCATGGAAATGAGTGCAGAGAAGTTTACACTTATATTTTTGTAGCAATTGTCATAGGAAGTAGACAAAGATCCTCGTTGAAGGAATTTTTTTAAGGGTTATTAAAAGAGAAAAAAAATCAATTTAAAGAAAGATGCCAAGGATACATAACGACTGCGAAAGTAAGCAGGTTCATATAAAACAAAGCCTGCTTGGCTGAAATAAAATCTAAGCTGTCATTTGAATCAGAACCCCGCAAGACAAGTTGATGATTATCATTTATGGTTTTTTTTTTTTTTTTAAATTTTAATTAAAAAAACACGCTACTAAAAAGCTAAAATTTTTTTTTTCGTTTCTCTTTTTCTTCTTGCCTGCCCACTAACACAGAAACCAGTAAATATAGCATCTGTTTTTCCCTCCTCCTTGTTTTCCTACCAGGACTGAATCCTTATTTGAACATAATGAAAACATGAAATTTATAGGATAGAAATGCTAGACTTAAACAATTTCTGAACATAAGTGTAATTTTCCTTCCCCCCTCACCAGAATGGCACAGAGAAATGAAGCAAGGCCCTGAATTATGCCTTTTGTTATCTGCCACTGCCCCGAGATACTGAACCGAAACGGAGCTGATAACTCCGGGTGACATCCCGACCCGGCGCGCTCCAGGAGCCGACACACACGCTTGGTATTCGGTTAACCCCAAAGATAAGGCACAGCTCCCTGCACAGTATGTTGTACTCGACAGCACTGTTTGGAAAGAACTCTATCCAAACATCAAGCGGGAATTTAGCAATACTAAAATGTGACTGCAATACAGAAGCCCGTGTTCTGGGCTCTACACCTACAAGAGTAAAACACACGAAGCCAGCAAACATTAACCTTCAAATACATGTCATTTGTTTATTCGCATGAAGCAACTCATCATTTTAAACAATAATAGCCTATCTTGCCAAAAGTACATGCGATCATTCTAATGCACTCTTACAAGAGGTACTAAGTGGGATTTGTTTTTTTAAACTCTTTACAAAATTAAGGCTACCACTGTTCCTGTTCCGTTTATGAAAGACTCTACTGGGTAACAGCTCTTGCCAAAGATCTTGATAAGACAGCTCTACTTTCTCAACTTTTCATTCTTCCTTTAGCTCATCATTTTTCTACTTTTAATCAGAATTCACTAGCGTAGGTGAAAATTTACCCTGTTCCTATACTGAAATGGATCCTAGATGATATGGCAGTAATTAAATTCACCTACAACTTATTAGATTAGACGAAAAAAATTACCAGAAGAAGGTGAAACTGATGCGGTATCTCTTTTTCAGACTTGATCTGCAATCTGTTACTCACATTCACAGCTTGGTGGTCTCATCCCTCAGGATGTCCAATTACCACTGACAAAAAGTCTGTTATGATTGCATATCCCCATCCAGGAGAATAATAGATAATTTATTTTCAGTGATGACACCACAAAGATGACTCTGTTACTTCATGAAAAGATTACTGATTCAAAGTTCACAATAAACTGCTGAATTTTGAACAAAATCATGCTTCTCACAAGCAGCATATTATGCCCATTGATCTGTAACCCGATTCCAATCCAAGTCCAAATCAGTGATGCCATAATGATACACGAGCAGTAAAAGATCTCTCTATGTTATTTTTTTCTTCGAATTCTTGACACCAAGCTGGGTCCTGATCCAGCAAATTGAAAAAAAATAAATCTAATTCCATGGTTTTGCTCCTGTGTATGAACTTCTACTAAACCAGGTTCCTTAAAGGGCCTTCAATTTCTCTTCATCCTTTTGGGTAGCCAAGAGTGATCCTTCTGTCATTCCTTAATGCACAACTCTTCTCCTAGTCATTTCCAGAGAAGAATCTGAAAATTGCTTATACTCCTTCACGAGTTGCCTTTCTGTTCTTCCTGTTGTTCACATCACCTTTACCTATGTGGCCTCATGGCTCCTTTATTCTCTAATCACCAGTGACTATTTAGCTGCAAATCAGTGCCTGGATAAAGAGCTGTCCTTCGCCTGGCATCTCAGCTGCTCTTGGGCATCCCCTCACACCAGACTGCTTACAGATTCAGGCACACTTGGTGCTCAAAAAAAGCCTGTGCCAAAGGGACCTAAATAACTGTTCATTTATTCTGCAGTGCAGTTTGCAATGCTTAGGAACGTAGCATTCCTGTTTCACCACATTAAGTGCATCAAACAAAACACTTCATGCAGTACTGCTGGGGGGAAAAAAAATGGAGGGATTTTCCGTGCCTGAACTTAACAGGCAGAAGCTCCTGCATAACAAATATACGGCATGATCAAAGTTGGCCAGGAAGTGACACTCTCCTGCTAATGCAAAACTAATCTCAGGAATATCTTCAAAATATAGAGTAGTTTAAAACCTCAAAATGATACTGTAAAGTATAAAACAAAGCAATATTGGAGTATTTAGATATATTTCAAAATGAAACACAACATCATTTCATTACACAGTCAAAGCAGGCATAAGAGAAAAAAACATTTTAATGTGAGCAGTAACCTAAAACCTTTAATAAAAAATTACTATTTTGAGTTGCACATTATTATCAGCCTGAAGAGCTGCTCCAAAGCAGAGCTATTGCAGCATGCACTCCCAAACCACTCTCACAAAGATGAATCTACCTATTACCAGGTTAGGATTAGCAGCTATTATTATGGCCCCTTGATTTCTTTCAAGTAGCTCCAACGGAATAAGCCACAAGTGAATAATAAAGATCTTATAATAGCCCTTAAGAATTCTTTTTAGGTTCGAAGGCACAGAAATGAACTCAGGAGAGTTAAAGAACTCTCATCTCCTGATAAGAAAAATAATTAACCTGACTTAATGCATCTGAGTAGGTCTTATATAAATCAGACTTTTGTACTTCAAGAGCCAGACTAACGCCACATATCAGAAAAGTATGTAGATATTGTCTTATAAGTACACAAGGTAGATATCTAAAACCACAAAGGTCTGTAGGTCTTTTTGTGAAATGTTCAATATATTCTACTTAAAAGGAGACGTGTGAAGTACTTACAGTGCTTAGTTTGCTAGAGGTAATAATGATTCGTCTCTCATGCAACATACTGGCATAAAGTTGCAGCATGTTGTTCACATCCACAGCAACAAAATATTCAGTGAGGTTTCTCTGTTTAAATAAATAAGATGTTAACAATGTAGCAACAGTAGTAGCTCAGTGGAACATTTAATATATTACTTAAACTTTTGATCAGTTAGTAGAAAAAAACAATCCTATGGAAGAAAATTTGCATTAAAATTTCTAGGCTCTAAAAGTAAATCATCAAGTTTTAAAGGGAAAGAAAACTAACTCGGTGAAAACTAACCCAGTGAAAACCTTGCTCATTTTATCATGCTCTTGAATTTAGATTTGTACTTTTGGCAGATTTGTAAACCCTGATAAGGACCCCGCTGTCACCTGACTGTGAGGTTTGATGACGGAGGGAGTCCCCAGCAATCACTCGCGCGGGCCCGAGGGCAGCGCTGCGGGCAGGTTCTAGCAGACGGAGCCAGCGCTCCCGAATCCACAGGCTGCCCCGCCGGCAGCAAAGGGGCCGGCAGGGCTCTCTCCAGAAAGGGATGGACCTGCTCTTTTATTTCCTTACACACTCTAATAGTAGTAAAATCTAACTTGAATTAAAGCCCAGATTAAGATCAGAGGATGGACCTTCCTGTTTGGATTCACTTTAATATTAAATAAAAAAATACAGTGAAAAGACCAAAGCCACAGCCACCCTCTGATGCAGGGGATCCAATGCCCCAGCTGCAGGTACATGCACAAATGCATCGCTGCTCCAAAAACCAGAGCATCGTTTCTGGTCCATGCTGTGTAAGTGTTTGGAGGAGATGCAAGCAAGGTCTTTAGGGCTACAACCGCTGCACTTGGAAAGAAACTATGATCCTTTAACTGCCTGTCAGGGACTAAATGCATCATAATAACGTGAGTCTAATTTTTCAGGCACACCCTCTGCAATACTTTATTTGCTAGTGGTGTGTGAATTCACTGTCGCAAAACCTGTCACAGCGCCATTTAGATCTGCACAAATCAGTACATCTTTGGCAGACTGCATCAAAATTAAAAACTGCATTTGAAAAGTTGCTTCCCCTGAAATATGTAAAGCTTAAAATGAAGAATAAGGGAAATTAATTTGACTACTGACTTACTACAAGTCTTCCCTCCCAACACAGCTCACCATCCCCTACAATCATCGCTACTATCCCTCCTCCTGGAAGGATGGGACTCAGTTTTTATAAATGGAGTAAAATCTCAAAGAAATAGAAGGGCACCCAGCAGAAAGGAACCAGGGCCAGGGGACTTCCCTACCTGCCTGGCCAGATGCTGCTCTCCACTCAGACAATTGCCAACAAACTGTGCCAAAATTTCTTCACAGAAGTCTTTACTTAAAAAAAAATATGTATTTTAACCATTGCTAGTGCATAGTTACATGCTACATGGTGCATGTACAATTCAAACGCTGAACAGCAGATTTTCAGAAAGCCTGAAAATAGCTTCTTACACAAAAATTAACTGCATATCTCGATAGCTGAATTCACATCTTAGCAATAAATTGTTTAAGGAATAGGTATTCAAAATAACACTAAGTGCAAAAGTAGACTATGTTTTGAATACATAATTCCCATAAATGTAAATAAACCAAATTATTAACAAAGACCAAATATAACAGTGGTCAAAAATGCCCTGTATGCTGCTCTAATACTGGATAATTACAAGACGACGACTAACTTTACTAGCTGAAGGACTTACTAATAGACAAAACAGTGTTGGGGGGAAAATAAATCCTATCAATAAAAATGGAGCTCAACCCTATGCACAGAATGAGGGTGATGCTCCTCTCCGTAAATATTAAAAACAAAAACTTTCATACTTACACTTTCAGGGATTGTTGGCAATCCAGTTATATCAGGAGTAATGAAGTATGAGTGCTAATCAATGGGGAAAAAGCAATTAATAATTTGTGCAGACAAAAGTCAAGAATTCTTTAAAAAAAAAAAAAAAAAAAAAAAGGGTGGGGTGGGAAGCATTTAGGATTTCCAACCCCAGCTTTGCTGAAGCAAATCGCTATCTTTTCAATAGAATTCTTGCTACTATTAGACAAAGAGTTAAGCAGAGAAACACACAAAATGACAATCTCTGGTTCAGCGTAGCACACAAAGCACAAAACACATGAACAAAACATCACACTGCACTTTAGAAGCAACACTGAAATTAAGCCAGATTGTCACAAGTCTGAGAAGAGCAAGCATTGATTTTAAAATTGCAACAAGACAACGTTAACTAAACAGAAATTTAGAATGGAAGTAGAAAAATCATTTACAGAAGAAAATTAATTAGCAGCAAATCATTAGTCCTTGATACACATTCTATTCTCTTCCAAACATCTTTGAACCAAAAAACGTGTTAACAGAAATCGGGGTCTGATGGTTTGAGATTCAATAGTCACTTATAAAATAACACCAGCAATTTTATCCATTTGAGTTTGAGACATTTAGAATGTAAATATGAAATGGATTAAATTGAAAACAGATGTAATTTTAATGATTTCCATTAACCCAGCGCTTTTAACAGCTACCAAGCATGAATTTAGCTCAGTAGTTCTAGGCTATTTTAGTATATTAGCCTAAATCTTGAAGGATAAGAAGGACTATAAGTACATACTAATTCAGTGTGATGATTGTTGAATATTTAGCTTTTATTTGTTTTCAGTGGAATTTCCTCCTTTGTTTAAAAATAAAAAAAACTTAGACTGCAAATAAAATCATTTTGTTTTTATAGCATATTTTAATACAATTGCTAACAAAAAAACACTGTTTGCTTCAAGTCAAACTTGAAAATGATCAACCAATACATTAAGTATACAAGCTTTTAAACATGTTTTGTGTTCAATCAAAAAAAATTACTTATTAACACCACTAACTGTAGGACGGTCATATTAAACCAGCTTGATACATTTAATAGAACATTTTCCCCACAAATTAGGTCTTTTGGCAATAGTTAATTTTCTTTTAATCGGCTTTAAAAAAGGCGTCCCATAAACATCACAATGTTTGCACAAGAAATACTCCAGAATACTGTTCTGTATCAACAGGGTGGGGTGGGGGGAAATAAAAGCCTAAGATTTTTTTCTCTAATCAAGAAAATATTCAGATCATGGAATGCCTTTCATTTTTCATAAGTAGGATGGGAATAGAAATTTATCTCCAATCCATAATAAGGTATTAATTTTTTTGCAGTCAATAAAGCAGCACTATTCTATTCGTTGAACAGGACAGGAAATTAGAACTATAAGAATCAGAGAGCCCTTACTACAATTTGCCAAAGTAATAAGTAGCCAAAAAAGAAAAAAAAGCCGAAGTGGCATGGAATACTTGCACATCTTTATAAACTTCTCCAGGAAGATGTGTGACTGCAGAATATGCGCTAACCTAATAATTACCGTCCTGTATAAAATTTTCTGTTAAACAGGGTATTAAAAACAAAACAAAAAAATTCACTCATTTTGCTCACCAATTTAAAGATTTAATTTTTGGCTGTGTTTTTTTTTTTTTTTTCCTTTACAAGAAAATTATATTGCACGCATACATAGCTCTGAAATTCGCTTAGTGTAAACAGAATAGATATATTAATATTAGATTGCTCTTTTGGGCTAAAGCCAACAGCAGAATTCCCAAAGGACAGGTACAAATAAGCCTGAAATCAAAAGAGATATCCTATAGCAAGTAATTATTTCTTTAATTACAATAGGCTTCAGACAGTCAGTGCCTTTTAAACTCACCGAGACAAGAAAAGGCTGTTTTTTCAAAACTCGCTCACTTGCAAAAATCATCTCTTGGTTCTTATGAAACATGAGAGAAAGATTGAACAATTCATTTTATTTTATTCTTTTTCTTTTTTTTCCTTTTTGAACAAAAAGGCTAAAGCTGGCTCTAATACTTGTATATTCTATCGTAAGAACATGTCAGATTCATCTTACCTATTTCTTTCCAACAAAAATGATCACTGCATTGTACTTTCATTGTTCCACAGAAAAAATAAGTGGTCCAAAATGTATTTAAGTTCAGATTTCACAGACTTATCACAAGTTTCATTTGCCAAATATTTGTTACTGGGACAGGTAGGTGAGAGTAGACATGGTTCCTAACTGGACAGAGGCATTTTGGTGTCCTGGTGAGGGATTACCGGGAGATGTCTTATATACAGATATCGGCAAATAATTAATTCTTGGTTATATATGTGTGCTCAAAAGTACTATTAGGGCCTGCCATTTAAATGCCACTAACAGAAAAGCCTTAGTCTGTATATTTGAGAAAACGGTGGGGAGGGAAATAAAAAGATGCAATTCTGCGTCATGAAATTTGATCTATACTCACGCTGGAACAATAAGAAGCAACCTCATGCTCCCATTTCTACGGTCGTATTTCAGCCCGTAACTTCTTTTTATGCCTGTTACCACTGACAGCTCCAGCCTAGCCTATTGCAGTACAGGAGGAACTAGCAAGGGGCATCAAATGGACAGGCAAGGCATATAAAGTTAGGGCTGAAAGCGGCCCAAAACATCACTCTAGTAGACTCCCATATCAAGATTCATAAAACTCTCTGGTTCAGGCTGCTCTTCTCCACCTGAAGCTACGTTTGCGTAACCATCCTCGCAGTCACGCACCTGGCAGGAGGCCTGCATTAAAATAACCATTCCTTGGCTAAAAGGATTACAAAACTCTCTAAATGATGTAACAAACTACTGGGAATCAGAGATAATTGAGAAAAAAATACATTCAGGAGACAGGTAATGTTGAAATAAAACTTGCAGCATGAAATTTATTGCAAGCAACCCGTCATTATTCCAGCGTTGCCAGTTGTATTCATCACTGCACTCATTTCAAGGCAGGCATGTTCTGTGCGAGATGAAATGCACACTCTGACAGCAACTCTTTGCAAGAAATTAAAATGAAATGTAGCTTTAAAAATTCTATGTCCTAATGAAACTCATTAGGATATTTAAAGGATTTTATAGGGCGCTTGGGTATATTTGTAGGGCTTGTGCATATTTGATATACAAAATTATTCTTGCAAGAACAGTATGAATATAGTATTCGGTTAGCATTTTTAATTCCTGCTACTTGACAAAAAATAACTTGAAATGCTATACTGACAACAGTAAAAGATTAGCCACAAAACCCATGGAGACTGTACCCTCGAAAAGCAGTTAAGTGGATGCAATCCAAAAAAAAAAAACACAGGGCAACTGAAAGACTTCCAACTAAGTAGATTAGTACTGTCCAAGGGAGAAAAATATCAGTGCTCCCTAAAAAAACCATAACAAGGATGAGTAGTGGACTCTGAAACCAGCAAAAGGAAACTAGAGGCAGCACTATTTTAGGCATCAGGGTGAGTAAGCACAGGAATAGAAGCGGCAGACGCTCCACTCCTGTAACGCCTCCGTGTATCCCAGATCTGCCTCCTGAGCTCACAGCGTCGGGTTCTACTCTAATGGGTTAAATAATGGGTTTAACAGTAAATGACATACATAAGGTCAAGATAAAGTAAGCTAAGGATCTTTCTGTGGCAAGCATGGGAAGCCTTTATCTAACCACCTGCAAACGGAGGGCAGCTCAAATGAGAGACTATCTGCACACAGAATAATCTAACAGGAATTAACTATGCAGGGATACCACAAATGCTGTGAAGGAGAGATGCTTAGTTGCAGCATTGCAGTGACAGCAAAGCAAGAGCTCTGTATTGACTCTACGTTTTATACAGCCTCTACAAACATATATAAACATGCACCTGTATGTGGAAAAAACCCTTCAAGAATGTAACTGTGAGCGACAGGCTCCCTTCTGCAGTGTTTCTGTGGCAACGAGCGCTTGCCAGGCTTCCCATGCCCAGGCCCCATGACACAGACAGCACAAAAGCAATGGAGAGAGGCACAGGTTATTTCAGCCACGTGCAAGAAGCTTTACACCATGCAATATACCTTTCCTACCACCTTTTCTACCTCGCTTTTGAATCATCAGGCAAAACTGGGAAGAAGGAGTAGGAACATGGGAGAGAAGGCTGCTCATACAGATTACTGTCCCATTCTGCAACTCTACCTACTCACACGTCAGAGGCAAAGAGACACTAAACTAGTTTCTGCTGCCCACAGCAGGAGAAACCAAATTTATCTACATGAAACAGCTGGAAGAAAAGAGAAGGATAGGAAAAAAAAAAAAAGACAGAAGTACTAGCACTGCCAGCTCAGTGATTTACTTTCTCATCCATACAGCAAAATCTAATTTGAGCTTCCCTCTGACTATAACTACCTGAGAAAAACTCTGTACAGCAGAGAAAAAAGAAAAGATTGTCCTAGACAGTTAATGAGAAGCAGCAACTTAAGTTTACTATCTACAAAGTCTTCCTATCTTAGCCATAGAAACCATTTTATATAGGGAGTCATATACTTACCACACTTAAACTGACAAGAGCGTTTGCCTTTGGCACAGGATGGCTATACAGTGATTTTAGCAAATCATTTGAGTCATTTTCCTAAGGGGAATAGAGTTAAAAGGTATTTAATCATTGTATACAAACAGGATACATACGATTTAGTACACATTAAACATTATATATAGACACACATACATATACATATTTAATGAAATAGACACCTGAAATCATGCTCATGTCTTCTAACAGCTTCCTCACCAGCAGACATGGCATTAGGAAGGACACCTTCTGGCCCATCAAAACTGTTTTCTCAACACACAACACTATTGTGTTGTATGATACCAAGCCTTGGTATCTTGAATTCATTGACTGCAATGCCAGAACCACGGATCAGGAAACGAAAAGTAAAATAATCCTTGTCCCTTCTATCTATGACCTTAACAACAATTTTTACTACTACAGTCAAATAATGGCCAAAAACAAAGCTACATCTTAAGTTTTAATACACAATTTATGAAACTTATGTGTGTTCTATGTTTTGTTTTACTTAAACTAAGTAACTAAGCCAACTAACTACTAAGCCAGGTTCTATGTTTTGTTTTACTTAAACTAATATAACTAAGCCAACTTCACTACTGCATTTTCTTTAGATAAAATGTCATCATTTTCTATAGTCCATTTACTATAACATACAATAATTGCATATTCTATAGTTCACATATTCTTAAAATGTCAGCTTTTGCAGCCCACAGCATATGGGTAACTATTGATGCTTTTTTTTAATTACCATGTAGTACACTAATATAGCTAAAGCAGAAAGGTATAGCTTTAATGTTCTCCGTAAAGACAGATGCCAGTATTTCCTTTCCTGTGTAATCCTGAAATATGTTTAATTGCTCATGAATATGCAAACTAAACCTTCATGATTCTTCACCAAATGCTGCACGTAACTTTGCCATGCTAGTTGAGATGACAGGATTATGAGAGGTAGCTTTTAGTTAATACTAAACTGTACATTAGATTTAAGGTAGTTCAGCAAAAGAAAGGGTTCTGACCACTAACCAGATAGTTGCAGAGTCACAGTTTACAATCAATACATCACATGGCTCTCCAGTGATGTGACACTTTGTTCACACTTCATCCAGGACATCATGCTTTATGTTTACGTTAAGACTGACACTTTTTTAATAAATAGTTTAAATAATAGAGAATTATTTAACAAAACTTGAAATTGTCACAAGCAATATATAGAATTACCTGTTCTTTAGCCAAATAATCCGCCAGGGTATTTAACAGCTTGTAGTACACCTCAAACCATGGTAAGTAACTAAAATAGGAGGGGAAAAAAGATTTTATTAAAATATTAATGTCTATTTTCTAGTACATATATTTATCTTTATAACCTCTAGTTTACATATTTTTATAAGATTTCTATATATTTGTTTTCTATATATTTTAATTCTACTTATAAGTAAAATGCATGTGTTTTTGCCAAGTTTAAATTCTACAGTACATGACTAACACGGAGCACAAAAGCTACATCTTCTTTATTGCAGCTACTAAACTACCTGTTCTGCAAGTGTCTAGTTTAGCTTTATTTATCAAAAATCTGACATCTCAGTACTTGAAGTGCCACAGACAAGGCATTCCGCTTTATGCAGTAAGATGGCCACCTATATGAAGTTCCAAGTTAGTGTAGATTAGCTCATATTTTTACATGTCTTTATTCTAAATCCAAAAACGATTACTCTGAACATTGCCAAAAAAGCTTTGAATCACATTCTCTCATGGCCATAAGTTTCAATAAGTTTCAATATTATCTGTCATGCTGCAGTCCTACATTCTGTTGCACCGGGGTGGATTGCCAAAAATGCTACTTCCCTGAAGGACAAAACCATTTTACCTAGGCAGGGCAGTTTCCCCATATTTAACAAGCGACACACTGCTTTACGATATGATACGTCATATTATATATATTATTATTGGTCTCTCTATAAAGTATTTCTAAAGATAAAATTCTAAAAATGCATTTTTGTAAATAGGCAGCTCGTTAATATATGAATACTTAATACACTTTTAGCACAGTTCTGCAGCCCCTATGTATGCAGCATTCTCAGCGAGTTACCCAGCCCAGCACAAGTATGACACAACCAAAGCGGACACAGAAAAGAATTCAAACGCACTTCTACCAATTCCATTTTTTTGTCATCTGTTTACGGAACAGCTGCCCAAAACCAGTCAGACAGGGCACACTACAGCACTGCCCACAGTCACTGCTCAAGCATATAGTACACAGGTTATAAATCTGGTTAACTAAGTAGTAGTAGTCAAAATAAATTATTTCTTATTTACAAATTCTGTACCATCTCTGTCTTTTCCATACACCAAGTCTGCTTTTGTCCAGGAACTAAAGCAGGGTTAGGCTTTTTCTGTGAAACCTCTCTCCTCAGCTAGTTACTGGCAAGGCTTCAGAAATGGATTCTAGTTTCAGGGCAAAGGAGGAGATCAGAATAAAACTGATTTGGGAACATGCTTATAGTTATGCAATTTATATCAGTCTTACATTGCTATTGTTATAAATGCTGCATGGTTATTGAAAACAACAAGTAAACCCATAATAAATATACTGCCACAAAGGCACAGTGACACTGAGGCAAAACCTTATTCTAGAGCCACTGTGTTAACAGCTCTACACCAGGTTTTGGCATATACTGCCCTGGCTATCACTCAAAATTAAATCAATCTCTCGATGCTCGCAGACATTTCCAAGATTGGCACTGGTAGTTAAGGTGTGGCACTTACTGCTTTGCTCTTCAATGTACTCTTATATAAGTACAAAACGTACTTGACTACACTTGTGTAAGGCCACTAACTGCTGTACGTCCTTTGAAACAGTGTTACAGCACCTGAACTGACTGATCTTTGAGCTTTATTTCATCCCAAATTTCTGTTCTATTGAGTTTTATATGTAGCTGAAATGCAATACAGAGAGAAAAAAAGCAGTTGTCCTGCACAGTTTTCAGAATACTTGAAAATGCTGGAGTTACTGAATGTCATCAGCCCTGAACTAGGGGCGAGTGGCACACTGCCCAAAGCTTGTCCAAACCAAAGCACACTGCAGCAACTACAGAACACCGTATCACACCGGACACGTCTTGTTCAGGTCTTCCAAGAACTGTCCAGTGCTGTGAAACATCCCAGCAGCAACAAGGCATATTAACCCAGTGTATTCTTTATGCTGTAGACTACTAAAAACTGAGCATTCTTTTTTCATAATAATGAACTTTGTAAGCAGCACACTATAAAAATAAACGCTGTTTCAATTAAACGTTAACTCTTTTCATGCCTATGAACTTAACTCACCTATTACTGTGAAAAAAAAAATCACAATTTATAAATATATGCATAAAAATGACAAACTCTTTATTTGAAATAAATGAAGCTTAGCACAAAGCCACAGTATAACTTGCTTCTCTAAAGCAGACACACGTTGACCAGAGTACTCATACAAGAATTTTCTACTTTGGTAGGATCAAGTTGATCAGATACTTCCATATCTATATGCAACAAACTACAAGGTTAAACAGTGAGGAAAAGAAAAAACAAAAAATACTTCTCAAATATAGTTTAGAAATGCCTTAGAATGCCTTCTAAGATGAAACACTTAAAGCAAAAGAATTGCTTTAAGGCTAAAGACCTATAACCACAAATACTAGGTCAAAATAATTCCAAGTATGCCACTTAAATCTGAAAGATTAAGGGAAAAAAAAAAAAACCCTCCACAGGAGAGGGCAGGAGATTTTATGACAGGAGATTAAAGGACTCAGATCTGTGGGGTTTTTTTTGCCTTTGTTTTTCTACCCATATACTCTCTAATTCTTCAACAGCATAGCTTAAGCACAAAACTTCTTGTCAATAGTTCAATAGTTTTATTTATACTATACTGTTCTTACTTCAAGACAGCATGAGGATATTTGGGGAGACAAAAAAACCCTCCTTGTGTTTCTCTATTATGAATTTTCTACGCGCTAGTAATATTTTTATTATTATAAGTACTATTAGTTGGCTGTTCATCTAAACATTTATGAGTATGCACATATGCACACATGCACCTCTGCATTCAAAAGCGAATCTCTCTACATGCAGGTTGTGTTCCTACTAAGGAGAGCCTCAGCTGGGGTTTTATCAAGAGCAAAGATAAGCCTTTTTAATCTGAAACTTCCTCATGGCTGTCAAGTAACATTCTTCTCTTCTTATATCCCAGGATGATTTTGCAAGTGCTTGTGTTAATAATCCCATTAACTTATGAAGAACTGTTCATGTAAATAGCTACTCAAAGATGAGCATCCCCATGATTTAGGCCTTACGCCTTTATCCAATATATTGTATTGGATAAAATACTGTATATAGTAGCTTTTTTGGCATGCAAGTCTGTGCATGGGGAATGAGAAACGGCTAGACAACAGAAGTGTTATGGCTAAGAGGAACTACCCAGCTCCTCTATTGACGAATCTTGCAAAAATTATTTAATCTTTATTTAGTACTGTAGGACAAGATGAGGTACAGAAAGGACAAGCACACGTACATCAACATCCATCAACATCTGTTCAGCAGCAATTTTTTTCAAGCACATCAGTACAGAAACACACCATTTGCAAAAACAGTCTTAAAATGGCTGCATTTAATAGAGGAATAATATAATATTTTACTGGTAACTCAAAACTGTCACACTAACGTATACTTTAACAACGGATAAAAATCAAAATTATAGCTCAAGACTTAACCATCATACATGCATTAACAAAATTATTTATGATCGGTGCATTTTACAATTAATTAGCTGTCCTATAAAAATGTCAAAAGGTCCAATTATCAACAAAGGCCCTTTGCAGCACACACTATAAAAACATTCAGAGAGAGAGCTTTAATTTTCATTTTTTCATGTATTTAGAAACCTAAACTTTAAATAAAATTATTTAGGTTCTTCAATTATTGGTGCCACCAATATTGGTGCCTTATTTTTTGCTTTTTGTTTTAATTATACACACTGCCTTTGCATTCGGCATGCTAAAATCAGCAAACTTTCGAGAAGCAAACACACACAAAACACCACCACTCTACATATAAATTTACCAGAAAACATTGTTCCTCACAATAAAGACCCGAAAAAGTATCAAAATGTAAGCAATGTGGTTTTAAAAGATATAGATTCTCCGTTTTAGAATACAGTGGTCTTTATTTAAAAATACAGCCACTGTTTGTCTTGTAAGTAAGAGCACACGGTATTTCACGGTTAATTAAAAATGTACTTTCTTTTCCGCGTTTTCTTTTAATCCGAGTGAGCTCAGACTTCCATTCGAAGTCACGCACAACCCCTGTCGCAGCAAGGAGACTTCCACCTCACTTGTGCTTCTGCTAGAGCTCTGATAAAGTTTTACATTCCTGAGTCAAAGGTTAAATAAAGGAAAGGAAATGTTTTCTGTCAAATAGTCAGGTAACCACTAACAGTCCTGAACTACCAGCAGTTTTTTTTTAATCAAATAAAACTAAAGGAAACTGCCTTTCCGTAGCTAAACGTCTAATGTCTAGGGGCTACTTTTCTGTCTGGAAAATTGACACAAAATGTGTAAAATTGAAACATTCTGCTTCTAAGGGATTTGCCTAAAGGAAGAGCGAGAAGGCTTCAAGCATGGTCTGAACTCCAGAACTACAAAGGCTTGCCACATAAAACTGTCTTCCTTATTACAGCATTTCGTTTAGAAACGTAGGTGACAATTTTATAGTCATAAAATTAATGAAATCTAAGACTCAACATTTTAATGATGCATTTTGCATTTCTCTGTGTACATAAGGTCAATCACAGATTCCGTCAATAGTTTCCAAGTTTAAACACAAGAAAAAAAAACTCTGACAAATTGTTTGAACTTTTCATTAAAACTATTTAAAGAACAACTTAATGCAGACCCAGGAAGTAATATTCCTACCACAAATATTAGCAAAATTAAGAAACAACCCTGAAAACTGCTTCTTTAAATTAAAAGAAGGTAAAAATAAAACCAGACTAGAAGTACAGTCCATGAGCACAGCAAAGCATATTCTATTCGAGCACCTCTTGCTCTTACAAGGCCACATCAGCTCAAATGTTTGTGGAGAGGCGGCAGCAGCGTTTGCACTGGGAGCTGCACAAAGCAGCAGCACAGTTTGAAAGCAGCTTGCAAAGGAAGCACACACAACTACAGGAGGATAATCCAACATTTATTTTCTTGTCTTACTACACGATGATCTTGTACTCATTTGCAATGTGCATTGAATTTGGCAACTGCAGTCAGGTTCTGCATGTTCTTATAATACATATATACATATAACAATTAGGTTCTTAAAATGAAAGAACATGAGATAATGAAACAAAAATAGCCCAATGTAACTATGCTGACAGTTCACAGAGAGTTTGAATAAAGTATTCTGACCAGGGAGAGAATTCTGCCCATGTGTGTTTGTAAAAAGTACAAATTTTCTATGTACAAGCAAAACATGCTTCCTGCTTTAAATTCTTTGGTTTAAAGCACAGCCTTGTGGCTGCAAATTCAAAGATGGTTTCCTTCAATTAGTGCTTCAGATAAAGAACAAATTATGGAGGAATGACCCATAAATGACAATCAGGATCATAGAATGCTTAAGGTTGGAAGGGACAGGTTCACCTAGAGCATGGGGCACAGGGTGGCATCCAGGTGGGTTTGAAGATCTCCAGAGAAGGAGACTCCACAACCTCTCTGGGCAGCCTGTTGCAGTGCTCTGTCACCCTCACTGTTAAGAAATTTTTCCTTCGGTTCCTGGGGAACTTGTGATGCTTCAGTTTCTGGCCATTTTCTCTAGTTCTGTCGGTGGCCACCAGATTTAGACAAGACTTAGATAAGCTTAGAAGCAGCTTTGGGTTGCTGACATAAAACCTGAGGACAAGCAGCCTTTACCTGCTTTCAGCTGAGGACCTAGCTCAGCACTCGTATTCCTCCAATTCTTTTGCTTCAGCAGGCCTAGCATGAGTTAACACATGGCCTGGTACCAACCAGAAAAGATGGTCATGTGTGGGGGAAAAAAAAGTCTTGACTCATTCCCCACCTTGCAGCCTACTGAAATTCCTAAATTACCTTCTCTTCATTTTGGTTGACTTCTTTCTAACTCTTCTTTTCAGATACTCTTCCTTAGATTTTAGTAATTTATTATCATTTCATATCGCTAATTCATCATCTTTGCCTTTGTTAAAGTCCCAGGCAGAGATCTAAAGCTATTCCTACCGTTTATGAAGATATACATATATGTGAAAAAGGACATGTGCAGATGTGCAAAACAGATTATTCAGGTATGGTGCTTATGTATGTCTGTCTGAGCATTCTCATTCAATAATCAGCAGGTTTATTGCCTACTTATATCTTGTAGATGCACATAACTTTAAATGTTTACAAATAAGCATCATTATGTGCACATACACACAGCAAATACATAAATTAATGCTACTTTACAATATGGAACAAGAGTGCATGCGCATGTGCAACATGAATGCGCATAAGCGCACACAATCTTCTTACAAAGATGGCATTCCCTCCCTTGAGATTTCCTCGATATTGGTTAATTTGAGCTAAACATGCATCAAGGAAAGACAGAAGAAATGTCAACAATGATTTTTAATTTCCTAACACCTGTAGGATTCAGAGAACCTGAATTTGATCCTAAAACACATCAACTGGAAATACCGATAAATGCTTTCTTTCAGAACTAAACACAGACAGGCAACTCCTAATGAAAATGAAATCTCTGATTTATGTATTATATATTTCAACATTAAGAATTTAATAAAGCTTATTTTAGAAGGTATTGTCTTCGTATTGTATTATGTTTATATAAAATAAACGGTGGAGCAATATTTATTAGCTTTAAGCTACCCTATATTAAATCATTAATTTATGAAACGTTAACTCTGATTTGTAAAAAGATCACACAATTCTATACTCCCAGACTTCTCCCTCCAGTACTTCTTCAAACATAAAAATCAGACAGAAATGGGCAACCAAGAGGTAAATTCTATGAACCTATTGCTGCTACGCATTCCACTTTGCGCTGTAAATTTGAAATTGTCATAATAAAAGCAATAAAGGCAGTGTTTTAATTACGGTTCTCTGAAAAATTATAGCTTGCCACTTTTCATTTTCTTAGTTATTTCTGCCAAGTAACAGACCATTGGTTAAGCTTTAGTTGATGCATATTTCTGTGGAAATGTTAAAAGAAATATCCCAATTCCCAATTTACACGAGCTGAGAATTTGATTCCTTTGCTTTGCAGTATCTCGTGTAGTATTTAAATGTGAGTACTGGCATGCTTGTTAACTGATTACATACTGGTTACTACAGCACTGGAAGTAAGCCAGACTATGTATGAGTGTTAGGAGTAGAAGGTTTAATTCAAAAGGCAAAGAAAAGGTTAGCTCAGAAAATAAGTGAAAGAGGTACATAAATTCTCTCCTGGTCTAAACAGATACATCAACAAAAAGCACCACAGAGAAATGGGTAAGCATTAACTACTGTATGCTCTAAAAGTCTATGAAATAAATGATTTTGAGGTATTATTGAAGAATTATCATCAGAACCATAGATAACCAATCCATGAGCTTCCCAGCTCGAGCACCGCTATTCCCCAAGATGCCCCTCTGCTGCAAAGGGCTTTGGCTCCTTGACAGTAGATAGCTCCTTTCTCCTCTTATGTACTGGGTGACTCATTTTGCAGTTACACTTCTGTCTTGTTCTCTGGATTTGTTGCTAAGCAGGAAGTTCCTGTTTTTTCAGTAGGTCTTACAGGCTGCTCATATTGCCTCTCTAGAGTGGCAGGTTTTTTGTTTGTATGGTACAGCAATGATTTACAACAGCCAAACAACTGTTTGCATTTTGTTATCATCATCAAAATTATTATTTAACAGGCGAATAAAAAGGGAAAACATAGTATATTGCAGGCATTAATTTCTTCATCTCTGGTGTCTCTCCTGCCACAGAGCAGCATGTTGTATCTTGAGAACAATCTGGCTCTGGGGCTGCTCACACTACACAATGGAAAAAAAGACACCAGAAAAGTGTGTTTTCCAGGACAGTGTAGAACACGCAGCCTTTTTAGAATAATGCCAGCACAGGAGAGTGCTTTTTGTTACCCACTACAGAATAGTGCTAGAACATTGTTAGACTGACTTTGAGATACACTTCTTAGATCCACGAGTATATAAATACAAAGTACTGCATTCTGATGCACTGACAAGGTTCAATCATACTATAGTAAAGAAACAATATGCACTCATAGATAAGCAAAGATCATTAACTGAGGATATTCAGAGGCATGTTTTCTGAAACTTTTCAGTACTCGCTTTTGCAGCGCGCTTTCCTCGCACTCACCTCAGAATACAGAGGCAGACTTTGCCTCCCGACGTCAGGCGGCAAAATCCAAACCTTTGCTTGCTTTCAATGTCGGTAAGCACGAAGGTGAAATGCTGTCCTACTTGGTTTTGGGACACCCTGAAAAGTTAAACACAGAGTGTGAAAATGCTAAAGCATGAAAAACACTATCATTTAAGCCTGTGGGGCCAAATATTTGGTGCTCACCACTCACTAGCCTCCTCTCGACTGCTCCCAATCACTATTGCCACCCTGGAAGAGACATCCCTGAGCAGTGCCACGGGGTCCCAAGGAGAAGGGACATCTCCTCAAGTGTCTCCCAGGGCTTGGGCAGCACAGCTCTGCCCCGGCCTGCTGCGGCTGGGCACACCTCAGCTGGAGAAAGGAGCAGCTCCAGGGCAGCCTTCAAACCCCAGAACTGACTTTGTTTAGCATCACAGATGATGCTTTCCTGAGAAAGAGCTAAAAACACCCTGTCAATATGGTATTCACTGATTAATAATGATATTAATTGACTACTAATACGGATAATTATATTAATTGATTACTAATCTTTAAAAAAACTTAACATTCTGTTAACATAATTACACATTACACATTTCAGATGTCAACTTCGAAGGCTCTAACAGCTTAACAGATCCATTAAAAAAGTAAAGTTTCTATGTGGATTTCTTTGACAAAATGACCATATTGATTACACTTGTAACTTTGCCCTGTGTTTCTCCTTCCCTTTTCTGCATTATCCAAAGACAATTTTAAGTCCATTTGCCACTGCAAATTTACTCAATTCAGGAAACTCAAAAGCCATAAAGTAATCCAGAATAAAGAGCAAGAGAATTAAAATAATAATATCTTTGAGACTTTATCAAAACACATACCAACCTGAGACAGTAAATTATTATGAAAATTTCCTGTTTAATTTTCTAAGTTTATTCACAGAAATACATATTGCACTTTTTCAAAAGCTCCCAAAGAAAATCAGCTTTAGGCAGACTTGACATTTTCAACCAGAAGAGGTAATGCATGGCATAGTTAAGTGAAAACAAACTTATGAGGACGAGTGCAGGGGTTTTTTAAACAGGAAAAGTAGCAGTTCTGTCTGTAATTCTATTGTCCTCTATTCTTTTCCCATCCTTATGTTATCTTCTTCAGCAGAATACCTAAGCACCTGCCAGTAAGTGATATGATTAACATATGTCATATATGGTTTATTCCTAGATATCAAGCTGAAAACGAATTCCCACAGAAGCTAAGAACCACCACAACCTCGCTAAAGAAAGTATCATGAGGATATCAAAGAAATGCACTGTGCACATTCTAATGCATGAAGCAGTATGGATATTTTTTCAAACTCCTACCAAAATAAATAAATAAACAACAGAATTTTCTATTGTGAATGAAGGAAGGAGGAGATAGAAGGGGAAAAAAGTAACAAGAGCCACATGCAAATGGTACTGCTTAGTGCATGAAAGCCAGAACCTTAAATATTAGTCAAGTACTAGTATCACAAACCAGACCTTATAATTGCCCATTCTGCTCTAGCCCCACTTTAACATGCACTGGGTTAGACACGAAAAAAAAGTCTCTGTTCAGCACATAGCACATTACAAGATACCTTTAGTCCAACATAAATGTGGTAACTTACAGAGTTTTTTTGGCTACATAATTAAATAATTAAGACAAATACTTCCCTTATTTGTCTTCAATAAACAAGAACAAACTAATCTGCCCTTGAAACACAGTAAATGCTCACTGGTTTTCACTCAGTACTTTCTTATTCCTTTCCTTATTCCTTATTCCTTTCTAAGGAATTCCGTGTTCTAAGCAAATGACTGTATGTGGTTACAATTTGAAAAACGACTCTTTAGCCAAAAAATACGCTGCCCTCTATAAATATATATATATATATATATATATAGTCCAGATAAAATATCTTGACAGCTCAGTAACAGGCAATTCCAACATCATATCACCATCTCTATCTCAATGGGCTATCTTTGCTTTTTTTTAGGAGATACAACTCTCTGCTTCAACTATCAGACATAGTGTAAGAAAGGCTTCAAAACTGCATTCCTAAAACTTCAAAAAAGCTCCACACTCCAGGCTTTCCAACCAAGAAAACTCCAGGGCTAAAACTGAAACTCCTCCAGCAACCCACATCTTGGCTTTTGGCCCCATATACTTCAAAGCAACGGCTAATAAAAGCCTCTGGTCACTACACCAAGATCAGAGCTTAAAATACTAAATTAATTTTGCCTTTCTAATTTGATTGCTGAATTTGAAACCTGGGGGCACCAAGGACTTATGAAATTTTACTCCTTTTCAGCAGAAGGAAAGGCATAAATGCCTTACCAAACCAAAGAAATGATTATTGGAAATTTGTCTGTGTCAACAGATACCATACAGATTGTAAAAAACATTCAAAAAAGGTCAAAGTGAAAGCACAAGGGATTTTACATATCTACTGGATATATTATAAGGTGGACAAATTTGGACTACGTGTCTTAGGGCTTGTTCCTCCCTGTTTCACTTTGACAAGCCCAGACTCTTCGGAAATCAGGACTTGCCTTTACAGCTCTTACACGTTTTCCTTAAAACGAAAATCACGACATGTACGATGTTGTTAGTACCTACAAAAACTCCCTAGGTAAAACCTTATCTACACTTTAAGATGGGGCACAGAACCAACCAACACTGCGCAAGAAGCTGGTCCAGCAGCTCTTTGAGAAGAGCAGGATCTGCTCTCTTGCACAGAGAGCAGATACAAATTGTTACCAACTGTCACTGACCTTTTGCTCACTCATTCCTCTGCCTTGCTTTTTCTTTGCTTTCAACTCCTGCAATGCATTTAATTTTGTTTAACAACAATAAATCATTAACAGTGAAGAATGTGTGTAAACACCTATTAACTCTGTAGACTACAATGGACTCTTTCAAGGCTATTACAGTTCACTATAGGAATAAGTTTTTAATTTTTTCTAAATACATATCTACACAATGAAGAAAAGGCTCTTTAGATTACATGGAATAGTTAAGGAGTCATTTTAAAGATCTTTATTTACACTATAGTCATTGTTCAGGCCTAATTTTAAGATTGCCTTGAGAGAGCTAATTAAGGCAGGAATTAAATCCCTTCCTCGCAGGAGAAGCAGCATATCTAATCACTAAATTTACTCCCTTTTGCTCTCCAAAAAGAACTGATCTTCCAAATCAATCCTTTTGGGAAACAGAATATAGTTTGAAACAATTCATTTTTCAAATTTGTTCTTTTTTTCAAGCCTTTATTGAGCTTTGTGGAATTTCAGATAGAGATTTTTAATCTCAGAAAAGGTCTTTATATATGGTAATGTAGAATTAGATTTTTTTTTCTTAAGAAAAGGCAGTTAGTATAATTAATCATGGTATTATTTATCATTAGTAAGGTGTTATATACATGTATTTGGCTAAAAGAAATCAAGGGTTAAAGTATGGTTCAGATTCAAGTTCAGAAAGCTGTTACCTAAAATTGGAATTTTAAAATATATTCCAGCACTTAGACTAATGAGGAAATACAAAATGCACTTGATAATCACTCTAATTCTTCATAGCCCAGAGTATAGATTTGAGAGAGTTTTAAGCGGGAATTAAAAAAGAGGTATCTCCTTAGGTAGGAGAGGAGCGCGGGCGCAGGGGGAACGTGAGCCTTGGTTAGGCCTTCAGCTAACTGCTGCCCCCAAATCTCAACTTCAGACGTGACTTTCTCACACCTCTAAATTCAATCCACGATCCATGACTCTACTGCTGAGGTCCTCCCCTGTGTAATGCGCTACTCAGCTCCAGACGAGTTATCTTCATAGAGTTCTGCTTCACAGAAACACCAGATTCATACACTTAGAGAAATTAAATCAAAAGAAAAATGGACAACTTCAAAATGTATAATGCTACCACTCCGTTAGGCAATTTTCCAAAATAAAAAGCATAGTTAACTTGTGGTTGTAGTTTTGAAACACAAGCATTTAAAGAAATCATATTAACAAAGAAGAATCTACCATTTACTAATGTCCCTATCTTTATAAAGGGAAGGAATTCTGTAACAGAATAAAAGGTAAACTATTTATTCGCAAAATGTCTACAAACTACTGAAATGTTATATTGTACTATTTACGAAGTTCAAACCATTTAATCACAGAGACATAAGTTCCCAGAGTAAACACTGAAGAATTTCTGTGATATAATTCATTTCTTACCCCCCAAAATTAAGTTGTAGCTATCAAAAATGAAATTATGTGCCTGCTTTTAATAAAAACTGATATTAAATGTTTCCCAGAGTAAACACTGAAGAATTTCTATGATATAATTCATTTCTTACTGATATTAAATGCGCAGTTTAAATCATGGTCAGCACATTATATCATTGTGTCTTTTTTTTTCTTGCTTTTCAGCTTAAATTTATCAGGAATTACCCACAGAATTTTCATCACCATTTTACAGCAGGCACCACTGATAACCAGAATGACTAGCGTGTAGCTATTCCCTACATCTACATAAAAGATAAACTAAAATGTTCTGGCGAGGTGATGCAAGCGCTGTATCAAGTACGGAAATGAATCTGGATCTCCATCCTTGTCTTTGCAGCAGAGTGAATAACACGAAATCCAACACACGCTCCCAACTCATTCATTCCTCAGTTCATTCTCTAATTCAGTGCTGATGAGGGGGAGGAAATGCACGACTACAGACTTGACAAGTGGGCTGAACAGTTTTTACTTTGCTATTACCATAATTTGAAGAGCACACATTTCCCAATTAAATGACTTATTTGCTTATTTAATAGTAAAGGCACATCATCTTCTCAGACTCCCCTGTATGGTACTAGAAACCTCAGAGGAACAATATTTTTCTCCAGGTATCTTTACCAGCAGCATCAGTGGGAGTTATTGCTGTTGCACTGCTAGTTCTTACTAGATGGCAAATCTTGCTTGGAGGGGTGTTGTGCCTATGTAGTATACAGAACACAGACTGAGAAACTTATTCAGTGTACAGTATGCTCAGTCCGCACAATAGAAACTTTGTGTCTCATTTCAATCACAGCCTCTGTACAAAAGTTGTCACTGAAAGTGCCTGTAAAATATTGGTGGGGGGGCATTAGGTGCATGGTCTAGCATAGTCCCCTATAGAAAAAATTAAAAAAATAGAAAGGAAATCCAATTGCTACTAAAAACACTAAAAGCACATTTATGCCTAGGAAAAAGCCCTGGTGTTTCTGCCCCATCCGTATCACAGATTTGCATTACTCCTGGACAAAAGCCCGATATAAAGGATTTACTGCAGCATTTTTCTCAATTCTTTTCTCTACTCCTCCAAATTTCAAACCACAACTAAAACTTCAGAAAAGCAAACACAAATGAATAATTTTCTTGAGAACAATATCAAAATACACTTTGGTAATATACATATGCACTATAGAAAATGCCTGGACTGAGCAGTACATACATTTTTCCCCTAGGCAGAGGGCTTAATTCTGAGTTCATGGTTCTCCACCTTTCCAGCCTTCTCCCACAACAGCTGGTCCCCCTCCTTGCCCAGGGTCTCTTAAGCCCTCCTTGCCATGGGTCCCCCCACAGCTGCCCTACAGCCCACGTGCCAACCACCAGCTCGCTCCCCTTGTCAGCATGGCTCAGTCTAGAGAAGTCCCCTCTTCACTTGCCCCGCTGCTATTTTTGGAAAATGTGCAGAAATTCAGTATCTTTCAGTCAAATATGGGTTTATAGACAAAGGGTGCAAAGTTGGGGGAGGAGGTGGGAGCAAGGAAGGGTAGTAACAGATAACATAAACCCCACAGCTATTTTTTTCCCTTTTGTTTTTTCCCCTCTTGCTGTGGTTACTCAGTCAAAATCTGCAGCTAGCTATGCCATAAATCCATCCCTTTCCCCTGGTTACTGTTTAAGCACACCAGTGTCACACAAACAACCGTCAGCACCTTCTGACCGGTGCAGCAGGAACAGGGAACCCAGTGCACAGGTACCTGTGCAAACAGTTATTCGCTGCCTCTGATTAGGCTCCTGCCACTGGATGGCAGCAACAGAACCTCACCTATTTCTGCTATCTGCAAATTTTATTTCCATTGTGCATCTTCGCTACCAATTTTAAATGGAATCCTGTACATCTCTTACGTGCATTAAAGGCTTGGATGCTTTAACGCCAACACTGTCAACCATATTAGCTAAGCATTAAAACCGCAGCGTGCCTAAGTGGTGCAAATTCAAACCACCGAATTAAACTCAAATATGAGTGACTAGGTGAGCCCAGCTCACTTCAGAGAGGTGCTGTTGACTCTCGAGGTGCTGCTCTTGGTGCCCCGCGCATGTCGCCACCTCCTCCTCGGGGACCTTCCCGTGGTGCCCGCGCTGGGAAGCCGCTCGGCCCGCGCGCTACCTGCCTGCGCTGGCACCAAGGTGCCCATCCAGCTGCCGCCGCAATCATGGCCGATCCAGACGGGATCAGCCTTCCAACCCGAGCCAGTACGATTGCTTAAAATTACCTACCATTCATCATTTTGACAAGCTCAAATAAATATTTTATTTAATAACGATGTTTTATATGAACCCTTTAGCTGACTAGCAGGCCTGAAAGGAACCCACACTATAACTGATACCAGAAGAATAAGGACAAATTAATTATAAATAATGATCTTGATTGTACTCTGAGGAGGAGAAAAAAAAAAAAACCCTACACATATTCAGTTACTTCCACGCAATTAAAGTCTTAATTTCTTTGAACTCGAACAACACGGTTTCAGTACTGCTCAGTGAGGTTTTTATATCCTGGTGCACTGAAACATTTTTTTATGATGCTTGCTGTTTGAAGGAAACTATGTTATATCCTTATATTAACACAGATGGTGTTTACAATTATACTGGAGGAAACTGAGAGCCAGAATGAAGCTCTATCTCAAAAGAGATATTCCTGTAATTCGGCAGAAGGTGTATTTTGCTGCGGTAATTCCCTACTATGCAATTTCATATACACTTGAACAATAACAGCAAAAAGCATTCTCCTCTACAGGTGCACATTTATGTAATGTAAAATATTTTCATAAAATCTTTCTTGAATTTCATTTAGCTATCATTTTACATGAGGTATTTTTAAATAAATAATTGTACCACATACCTTTCAACGTCAAAAGGAAAGCAGAACTTTGGAACACTGTTCAACACTTCCTGTAAGTAAAAAAGAAATAAAGTTAGGATTTTGAAATGGCTTTTATCTGCATTTTCCAGCAGCTATCCTACAGTTTGCTTAAAAATAAATAAATTCCCAGAACATCCATAAAAAACAACAAATTAGAGAAATATATGATAGCAAAAAAAAATATAGCACACGTTCCCAGACTGAAATAATTGATTATTAAAAAGGAATTAAGTTTGTGCTTTGGCAGATTGCAAAGACAATGCCATAGAAGCCCCAGGAGGGAAAGGCCTGGCCTGAAGGGTATTAACACCCTTCACATCCCCGCTGGGATTCCCTTCAACAAGGCCATATGGATTTTACAAGCAGCACCACACCATATGGGTAAGCCACGTCTGCTGCTACTTGTACCACAGACTAGCCACAGGGACTTCTGACAGATCCTGGCTCAAAAATACAAATGTTGTTTCAATTAAAATGCAGGCAGAGAAAAGGGAATGAAGTTGGCAGCAGAATGAATTACAGAGAGGTATAACAACTCTATACACGTTTCATAGTCAAATGCTGAAATGCTGAAGATGATGGAAATCTCCTGTTGGTCCAAAGTAAAAAATTATATGATTAACCCTTTGGGTTTCACAAGCAAACCTCACCACTAGTGCAGGGGAGAGCGGGGGGAATCCACCAAAGCTACGCTCAGGCCATAATATAAAAGGATATTGTTGCTCTTTCTTGCAGAATTTTATGTATGGAGCTGTTTAGTGGCAAATAAAATGTGTTAATTAAAATATAAAAACACTTTCAAACTAGTCAACATTATTCTAAAATAAATGTGAATCATCAGATCTGCTATCAGCAAATATTAATTAATATTTATCAGTGACCTGACGAGATCCCAGAAAACAGTAATTATTTCCTCGCTCCCAATTTGCATATGGATTGCAAGATTCCAGATAAAGTTAAAGAACTTGAGCTTGGATAGCCCTGTCCAACCTGAGTTCTGTTTACTCTGGGTTGAGCAGTCAATTCCCGTTAAGGAAGACTTAAATTCCTATGCACCACAACAGCCACTTTCTGCAATGATTTGCAAGGCTCAGTTGAGGGTAAAACATGAAGAAAAAAACGCCAGTTAATCTGCAAAAGATGAATTATTGGGAAAAAAAATTCTAAATACAACATGCATATGTTGCTTACAGCATTTTAAAGTTTACGATTTGCCTTAATAAATAGTATAGGACAAATGGAAAAGATGATTTTTCTAAAATGTCTAAATGGCAGAAGAAAGATCAAGAATTTTTTTGAACTTCGGCTTTCTCAAGTGGCACCAATAAAGAGAGATATGAAAGCAACATGTTACATTTTGGGACACCTTATTAGCTTAATTATGAAAATTCCATTTCAGTAGCAGTACATGCAATATTCCTCAAACGAAGCTCCTGCTCAAGCATCAGTCTGACTGCTGCCAACGTACTCCAAGGAAGTGAGGGGGGCAAAGTACAAAGACAGCATATAAATATTTGAATTCATGTAAGCAGGAAACAAGCAGAAATGGTCATGGTGATAGTAATAATAAACTAAGAAAGCAAGCAGAACAAGCCAAATAAAACTTAAAAAATAAATCTTTAGCATTTCTAAATAGTCTCTTGTTTCATACTCAAACCTTGTATTGCCTGTTGCAAAGAAATTTTTTTTTACACTTTATTTCAATTCTCTCCAAATCTTTGCCGTTCCTTCCACTATAGGAAATCATTTTCTCTCTAGGAGTAAGAATTTTAATTGCTGCCTGGCAAGCTTAAGAAACGGAAATGCATTCACTCGCGTTTTCCTTTGCATTCTCTCAGATGTAGTCGCCGCACAAATCGAGACAAAAGGCCCCGAGGTGCAGGACGCTCCGGACTCGGAGGACCGAGCTGCAGCCGCCGCGGGCCCAGCGCGGCCTGCCCCGGCCCCAGCGCGCGCCCGCCCCGCTCGCCTCCCAACCGGCAGGAGCAGCCCTCGGGGGGGACGTCTTTAAACCTCCTCTCTCTTTAAAATTCAGCCAGCCAGCAGGTCTATAGACTGGTGTATAAACAGTATAGACAAAAAAAAAAAAATCCTCTCTCAGCTTATGTCAGTGACAAAGGCGCTCAGCAGTTGACTGCTGCTCCCCTGACAGCGTAAGCCGGGTTTGCACAGATCAATAGATGGAAGTCCTACCTAGCTTCCAGGGCTCGGTTTTCTCTCTTAATTACAGGTGCTATTCAGCTTTTTAAAATGGAGGAAAACAAGATGCCCCCAAGATGCTTCTAGACATATTTAAAATGCAAATGCTACCTTAAATACCCACTCACATGCACACCAATATCAGTGTACAGTTACAACTGATGCTTTTGAGACTCTTGATAATATTTGGGCTCGATTTCCTAATGGGCTGTCACTCAGCCAGCACAGCCTCTCAAGTCAAAATACCCATCCTCACAAAAATAACATTGATTGGCTTGCATTTTATAAGCTTAATTAAAGTATATGTTTCTTCCTGAAGATAAAAGGCTACACAAATCATCAGAAGGCAAAATACCCTAGATTCCCATGTCCAGGGGTTATTTTCACCTTTGGATCTCACAGATACAGTCCTTTCAGAATATGGTTACTCTTTTGGAATGGAAACACACTTATTTTACAAGGAATTGTAAAAAAAAAAAAAAAAAAAAAAAAAAAAAAAAAAAAAAGGATAAAGTTGCTGTGTTAAAGCAAACAAAATTATGTATTTGTTTTAAGCAACCAGACAAACTTTAGGAGTTGCATATACAGTTGATCTTACTTGCTACACCAAAGGATATTTCACAGCTTAGACAAGCTCCTAGAGAAGGAATAATAAAATCATAAAATTAACCCCACTTGAAGTACAGCCTGCTGTTTCCTTCACATAAAACTTGAACAAAATGGAAATGGTATCTAGAAATAATTTTCATTTATGCCTACAGCACAGCAGCATAAACTTGACTTCTCTTGGGTTTATGGTCCGGTGGTTTTATGAGTTCACTTTTACCAGCTGAGCCAACTCCTCTTCTCTGGCCTGCTCACATAGAGCCAACATTGCTGAAGCTTGAAGTCTCAAAATTAGTTTTCCTTGCTTCTCAAAATTAGTTTTCCTTGCTTATTTTTATACCTACATGGCTAATTTGGGGCATTATCATTTTCCTTGTATTGTAAGAGGCAGTTGAGAATGCTTCTTAATTCCCATAAAATGACAATTTTCTGTATAAAAGCTCCTGACATCTCACAGTCTTACTCTTAAATGAAACTCCTGGCCAGGTACATTAGTTAGAGTCACACTCCTTACTAACTAAAAAAGACAAGTACCTGAAGGGTGAATGTAAGGAGGATGGGGCCAGACTCTTCTCTGTGGTGAGTGGTGACAGGACAAGGGGTAACGGGTGCAAGTTGAAACACAGGAAGTTCCATCTCCATATGAGGAAGAACTTCTTTACCGTGAAGGTGACAGAGCCCTGGAACAGGCTGCCTGGAGAGGCTGTGGAGGCTTCTTCTCCGGAGATGTTCAAAACCTGCCTAGATGCCACCCTGTGCCCCGTGCTCTGGGTGTCCCTGCTGGAGCAGGTGGGGTTGGACTAGATGATATCAAGGTCCCTTCCAATCTCAACCATTCTGTGGTTCTGTGACTTTTTTTTTTTTTTTTTTTTAAAAGCTCTGGCACAGTCCATTGGTGTGAGCCTAGGAAACCTTCATGACTGTATCTGAGTCAATAATCAGCACTGCAAACTGTCCTACTTGTAATCTGCAGGAATCAACCAAGAATTCACCCATTTTCCTATGATGAGAATTTCAAAGCACTAAAACTTGGTATAGTTATCACTTTGCATCGTCAAAGAGGGCCAGAAACGGCTATACCAGAAGATACTCTGACCCTAATAAAATAACAGACAAGACTTCCTTGAATTCATGAAGACAGAATTTCACTATATTTCGTTTTCTACATTTTTATTTGACAAGGCAGAGTAATGATAAAGACAAGCAAGTTGTACCAGCTTAGGAAAGCACACATATGTGATGTTGTGACTGTCAATTTGGCAATCTGAAATTAAACCACAGATACCTGAAATACGAACACCTGTAAACCAAAAGTTGCATATGCTGCAGAGCACTAGGACTTGGGAGGGTACTAATTTCCTCTTCCACTTCAACAAGTACCACGTGATATCACTACATCTTAAAGAGGTGTAGGAGTCGTCTCTATAGGAAAACTGCACCAGATTTATGATATATTTCAGAATTTGAATATTGATATATATCTCTATACAGGGCTTTTGCACTTCAGCACTTCAAAAGGTTACTACTCTGTGTAGATGAATCTACAGAAATTAATGTTGATCATTTAATATTACACCACTGAAAGCAGCAATGTTTAATGTGAGTTATTTCTAAAGTAAGAGAGACATGGGAACTATACAGGTCTACAGGGTTATTTTTTTCTTATTACAAAATATTCTGCTAGTCTGCATTTAAATGACACAGAATATTTTGAAGTATCCAGAAAGCCATTTCACAAGTAGCAGTTTTGGCAATGGTTTTTAGAAAGAGTCTTGTTACCTCCCAACTATTTGTGTGTCTGCTCTGCAGCAGCAGACTCAGCCTCAAGAAAGCAGGCGGACTCTCACCCAGGTCCATCCTACTTACAAACAGATAAAGTGAAAGGAAACATCTCTTGGGGAAGATGGGAACAGTCTTGCACCAAGACAAAAGCCTTCCCAAGATATGGCAGAATGGCCCAGGAAAGAAAAGAGGCAGCAGCCAAGATAATTCCAATTTGTCAATGACAGAGTCCAGACCAGCTTGTCAAAAGTATTCACATAAACTAGCTCTCAAAATAACTGATCTATATAACCTCATCTCTTGGCATCAAGGAAGAAATCTGCCAATGAACATTTTTCCCATTATTCTTATGCTTTTAGCCATTTTCTTTCTCATCAATATTACTAGTTTTTATCTTTTTCTTATTCCTCTACCTTGTTTGTGTAAAGTCTCTTCTTAGTGA